AATTCCCCGTGTGGTGTCGGGAGTTTTAGTAGAATAATACCACGGGACCTCCCCCTGTCGTAGAAGGCGACTAATCGGAGCAGCTGTCCGCTGTCACTCTCTTAAACATCCAGGCACTCCCACTAACTTCATATGTCATTGCTTCCACTTGTGGCACATTTCTGTTTTCTGTTCTGTAGGCCAATTTTCGCATCGGCCAAGTCTTGTGTTTCCGACCCCGACGCTATTACGAGGGCTAGGGAGTCGTTTCCGTTTTACTCTACTATTCTAATTCTATTCCTCACTGTCCCCCTTCTCTTCTTTCGTTTCCTTTTAGCTGGCTGCAGCGTTAAAACGCTAAGGGAGGGTGACCCTGAAAAGAAACCCGCGATGGAAGGTCCCTTAGGACCAACCGTTACGGTGCAGAGGGGTCGGAGCCCCAGTACCGGCAGCCGAGGTTGGGCAAGCAGGCCCCCGGCGGTCATCAACCAGCGACTGCAGTCTCAGAGACGTGGACCGCTTGACGGCTCTGAAATACTACACTGTGACAAGCGAAGTCCTAGAGCGTGCAGGTTTTAACCCCTTTATTGGGAAGTCGAAACAGCAGAGATCGCCTCCAAGTACCGCAACCATTCCAGGGACACCTACCGACCAGTGGGAGCGAAATCCAAGGACGACTGCGGAACGAGATGACGTGGCAAATTCGCCACAAAGTGGACCATGGGGCCGGCGGGGACTTATGGAGGGAAAGAAATCGGATAATCTTGTAGCAGGAAGTAAAGAAACAGCAGCTGACCCCATAATAGAAAAATGGGGAACTATGCAACAATTGGTAGAATTCCAAGGAAAGCTCCTAGATTAATTGAATAAAAGCAAGAGGTAGTAGATGAAAAGAGTATTTTCAGGGATCCTGAACTCTCTACTGAGTAGAGAGAAGCTAACTAATGTAAGGGAAGACGAGAAAGACGTACAAAGTAAAAAGAGGGCGGCACCTAGTCTACCAGAAGAAATAAAGAAGAGATAAGAAAGATAAACAGAAGGAGATAACTACGGTGGATGTTACACCAGGGGAAGAGCAAGCAAATCAGGGTGAATCTGCAAAGACAAAAGACCAAATAAGGGAGAATTGGCAGCTTCAACAAAGCAGAAAAGAGAAAAATATACAAAAGAAGCCAGGTGCTAAGACAACTGTCAGGAAAGTAAACCCATCTATCAAAGTGGCAGCTAGACAAGGGGAAACTTATGCTGACATTATAGAGAAGATGACAGAGACCGTGAACCTTAGTGATCACGGTACAAAGATATTAGCTATACGGAGGACAAAAAAGGAAGAGATACTTATTGTACTTGAAAAAACTGGAAATATTACCTCATTGAATGAGGCTTTGGAGAAAGCGGTAGGGAAGCAAGCTCAAGTGAGTGCACTAGAACGAAAGCGCCTAGTAGAAATTAGAGATATTGGTGAAACAGTCACTGCTAAGGACGTGTTGAAGACAGTAAGCAAAAATATAAACGTAGCAATAGACCAGATGCCCACCCCCTGTAAGATGCGCAGAGGATACGGAGGAATACTATCAGCCACATTGTTGATGGGAGAAGAGATAGCTCAAAAGCTTATAATAGCAAGTCATATTAAGATCGGATGGGTTAACTGTAGAATTCGGGGAAAATTCCAGATAGTAAGATGTTATAGATGTCTAGACTTTGGTCATATTTCAACGAATTGTAGAGGTCCTGATCGTAGCAAAGTGTACAGATGTGGTAGAACCGGACATGTCGTTAAGAACTGTACCAACAGAGAACAGTGTGTTTTATGTAAAGACAAAGCAAAGAGGATCAAAATCTGTTAGGAAGTAACAAATATGTCTCCTTTATAGCGGCGGTTCAAAAGAAAAAATATTAAGTACGCTTCGACTCCTACAGATTAACCTGGGGAGGTGTAAGCAGGCGCGGGACTTGATGTTGCAGGTTGCTGCAGAGAGGGAAGTGGATGTTTTACTAGTGTGCAACCTTACTGTGAGAGTACGTTGTATCGAGATACCACTGGAAGAGCGGGTATAATAATCCATAATAGGAAGCTAAGTATTAATAAATATAAGAAGACGAAATATGTGTTTGTATGGGTTTGAGTTGAATAATATGAAAATTTATAGCTGTTTCTTTTCTCCGAACGATTCATTAGAGAAATTTCAAAAAGACCGACGAATTGGAGGCAAGTCTGAAAACAAAGAAAGAATAGGTTTTGATAGCAGGTGTTTTTAATGGTAAATAGTCGGAGAGGTAAATCGGGTGACGCGCTCCGACAGAAGATGAGCTTGTAGCAAGAAATGTGAGTTTGTAGCAAGAAACGATCTCAACATTTTAAACTCTGGGAATGAGAACACTTTCCAGCGGGGAGATACTTCATCTATACTGGATTTGGCAATAATTACTTACAGAATGGATAAGGGCATCACGGACTGAATGGTGTTAGATGAAGAAACCTTGAGTGACCACCGATACATAGGGTATGCCGTAGTATCAGGGGGACCACAATATGGTAAGGCGAGATACAAAAGAGGGCCATCTTGGAATACCAAAAATCTTAATGAGGATAAGGTAAAACGATTTTCTGGAAGAATCCAGGTTACTGGAAGCATGGGTTGGACAAATAAAGCGGAAACATTCGAAGATGTGGTAAAGACAACGAAAGAAATAGTGACAGCGTGTGTGACAAGTGTGTGACACGTCTATGCCTAGAAGCAGTGGCCCCAGGAATAAACAAAAAATGTACTGGTGAACCTCGGAAAAAGCAGAAGCACGTAAGAGCTGCATCAAGACTAAATGACTGGCGACAAGAGCCAGGACCGACCTCCATCGTAGAGAGCAATATAAAGCGCAGCGTAAGCGCCTTAAAAATAAATTAAAAGAATCAAAAGCAGAAGTTGGAAGGTACTCCTAAGGCAGATTGATAATGAACCTTCGGGTATGTCGTGTAAGATAGTGACTAAGAAGTTTCGGATGGGTTCCAAAATATCTTATGTGAATGACCCACAGTGGATGAAGGGAGCTATTAGAGAGCTCTTTCCCCACAAGAGATCGCTGGGTGAAGCAAAGACAGAATGATTTTATGTTCAACGATGTTGATTACGACAGACGAATTGCGGAAAGCAGTGAAGAATATGAAAACCGGGAAGGCACCAGGCTTGGATGGGATCCCCAACGAAATATTAAAATTAGTGGTACAATTATATCCAGAATGTCTTCTGGCAGTCTATAATAGATGCCTTAATGATGGGAAATTTTACAAGAACTGGAAGAAACAAAAGTTGATACTCCTCCAGAAGGGCAAGAAACCGTTGGAACAGACATCGTCGTATAGACCACTGTGCCTTCTTGATACTACGGGCAAGTTACTGGAGGGGCTAATACTCTCAAGACTTGAGGAATATATAAGTTTTTCTCATAAACAATATGGATTTCAGAAAGGCTGTTCGACAACGGATGCGATTTTAGTATCGCATCGCAGATGCAGCTAGAAATGGAACTGGGAGGAAGAAGGAATTCTGAACACTGGTAGCAATTGATATTAGAAACGCCTTCAACTCAACCAGGTGGAATGACGCCATGGAAACATTGATTGACAGGGGATCCCTGAATAGCATCAAGATTGAAGAAAATATGATGAATGGAGTTCCACACGGGTCCAGATTTGAGTATTAACCTTCCAAGAAATATGCAGATTATAGGATACGCGGATGATACACTAATAATAAGTCATAGTGACGATATTGAGGTGCTTGAACTCAGAGTGAATGAAGCACTCTATAGAGTTAAAAGATGGCTAGACAGACGACTTCTTGAGAGAAGCAGCAGGAAAAACTGAAGCTGTGTTAATTACCGATCGGAGGGTTTTTTGCTTTCCCGATATCCGACTGGGAGAAGAGAGAATAAACTGGAAGCGCCAAATAACATATCTAGGGGTTGAGATAGACAGTAGACTTAAGTTTGGGCCACACATAAGTATGATGGCTGAAAAGGCAGCGATGACAGGATCCAACTTAGCAAGAATACAACCGAATGTAGGTGGACCACGAGAAGCCAAGAGAAGGTTTGGGATTTTAGTCGGTAAACCAAGAACGGGAGTCCGACAGTATTGGCTTCACCGGTCTCCATAAGGGATTTCCCCCTTATAATAATAATAATAATAATAATAATAATAATAATAATAATAATAATAATAATAATAATAATAATAATAATAAACGGCGACGACATTGTCTCAGATTATTTTTGGACCTAATTAGGCTAATAATATTTATGGGTAATGATTTGGCTTTTGGTGCGGAATGGTATGGTGGATTGTTATAACGAGTGAATGATGGCATTAGAAAATATTTCAATTTCATTATCGACGTCATTGACACTTTTAATGTTTTGCGAATACGAGTAATTGTAGGTCAAACTCGTTTATGACCATTCATATCTCAATGCTGTGTAGTAAAAGAGAGAGGGGTAGGGGTTTTCTACAGATCAAGAAAATTTGAAAATGTTCTACATTTCCTGTCGTAAACAATATATTCGATTTTTTACTTTTTCGTATACGTACGGATACTCATATAGAATCTCGTATACTACATATATATGTAGTATATAAGGAGTAATATCAAAAATCGAAAAAATCGTGGAAAATGTATTTCGATATTTCAACGGAAATGTCTTTTTTGAGGTCCTTTGATACCGAAAAGCACTTTCTCGGTATCAAAGGACCCCTTGGTCCCTTGGCAAAGGAGATGGCCCCTTGTTTTGCTTCTGTAGCTTCACTATGAGCACGTTTTGTTGAACTCAAATCATACTTGCAATTCGTGTATCGATGCAAATAAGTTTTCTATAATTCAGAAACGAAAATGACTATTTTTCAAATATTGCTAATCTTGCGATTTAAAAAAAATTATTTTTGATATTTATTTTTAAAATTCATTTTTGAAATTTATTTTTAAAATTTATTTTTGAAATTTATTTTTAAAATTTGTTTTTGAAATGTATTTTTAAAATTTATTTTTTTCATTTATATTTATTTATATATTTTTCTTTCAATCATACTTGGACAATATGCTAACTTTTAATACTTTTTAATTTGTTCATCAGAGACAACAGTGAGACAGAAAGTTTCGAAACCGAAGGAAATATTGAAAATCTGTCAATATCAATAAGATGTCTACAGATCTTTCTTAAGAGCAGCGCAGCAATAACTAATAAACAATCTGCTAACGCTTGCAGGAGGCGTCTGCAAATAAACGAGGTAAGAACCAGAATATCAAGTGCGAGAATGTCCGCGGATAAGCAGAAAGAAAAGACGCTCAATGTACTATTTCAAGTAACACCGTCAAGTAATACCGACGAAAAAAGTTTGAGCAATTTCTGAAAAAAAAAAGTTTTTTATAATTTTGCGATTTTTGAAAATACGAGTTCGCGGAAATTTAAGACTAGCGCCAATTTTTTACAGTCCATTGATACATACGAGGAGAAAATTTAAAGAAAATGTTTGGAGTCATTTATAGAAAAATATTGATTGATAAAAATAAGCTATATTTGTCGCAAAATTACGTGAAAAGTACTCGAAACGATGTCTGTACGATTTTTGAAAAATTACACGAAGAGTACACGACCTTATTTCAAGATGTCTTTAAAAAAAGTTTCATTTGAGAAAAAACTTTAGCTCCAATATCGTACTCTTAGTTGTAGGAAGAGGCCAGAAAATTCAAGATTTGCAATTTTTAAAAACCTGGGATTTTAACGAAAATGAGACCTTCCCCATTCTCTTAAGCGTACTATACGCTATCCGAGAACACAGGCTTCTTGGGAAAAGAAAAGAAAGAAAGAAAGAAAGAAAAGAAGAAGAAAAAAAAGGAAGAAGAAGAAGAAAAACAGCACGTTTCTTTTTGCGAGTAAAAGACAGAGAGTATCTTTCATTTATATCATTTTATTATGAAGTAGCACCTCAGTATCATTGCTGAAGTCATGATATTATTTACTTTCTACCGTTTTCGAAAAGAAAAGGTAGTAACTTAGTGTAGTATGTCTAATAGAATAGTGCTTCTTTAAATCAAATTTGTGAACGAAATGTACAGCCAGAACCTAATCAAACCGAAAGAAAGCAAATATTATTGTAAATAACAAACTTGAGAAGAAACACAAACCTCGGCAGCCGCGTTATATAACCAAAACCTTATTAACACCATACTCTTTGATTAACACTATAGGAAACGCTTAGGCGCACATCAGAACTTGTGAACCAACGCTTTCCCGTCAAAACATGTGACGTCATTCTGGACATTTCTATTGTAGACCTATTTGTTATATTGTTTTTCTTTTAACTAAGCGCGGATCCACGGGGTGGGAAATGAGGGAAATCCCCGCCCTAAAATTTTTCAGTAACTATTAATTTTAACTTGTCACGAAACTTTCAAGCAAAAATATTTTTGGATCATCATTAAAACGAATAAAATCGTAGCACAGCATGAGCCAAGTGTATCCTGCGACATTTTAAAAAATTTGCAAAATGACACATTTGACGAAAACATTTTTAATTTCCTCTCCCAAAATTTGTCTCAGGATCCGCCCCCGCTTTAAATCATGTTCTTGTACTTCTCTTAAGCTGACACTACCACAGTCGGTTGCCACAAAAACAAATATGCCACCATTTAGAACTATTATATTCTTAAGTAATTACCCCAAAAATTAATTTAATTGCTCTTCAAATTTTTATGTAATTAATGGTGGGCTAAATAAAGATTAAGCTGGCACCACCACAATGTTACCACAAAAAAAACATACAATACGCGATAATACCCCGGTGTAATTACATTGTGTAAGAGTACCGTAGTAATTCTCTTTCATCGTGAATAAAATATCCAATTTTTGTGTGTTCAAACACCATGTGATTTAAAAAATTACGTTTCCGTTCAGAATATTATTTCCGTTCTGAATAAAATTTCGTTTCCGTTCTGAATATTATTTTCACAGCGAGGTCACTGCCTTCTATTTTCTCTTGTCATGGTTGAAAAGGGACATTTCTGTACGAGCCTACATCATCGAAAAGGCAGTGCATAGTTGTTGACAGTGGTTGGCGAGGTGAGGGCGAAGAATTTTGGTGGTTTTTCTGATCTATTTGTACAATCGTACAAACTAACCCCAATGAATTTTGACATGTAGCATGTAGTCATTCATTTGTGTGGTAAATGAGAAAATTAAAATGCCGCCTGATAGGGTGAGTATAATATGGTTATAGTAGAAGAATTAATATATTTTTGATTAAATATACATCTTATAAATATATTTCCCTTCGTATAAAATCTTACATTGTATACAATCTTATAAAATCATTACATGGTGTAAATTATATATTATTACACATCTCTTAAAAATGAATTGGTCTTTTTGACAGGGATCCACAAGAACGCAAAAAGCTGATACAAAAAGAGAGTTATCCACATCCCGAAAAACTAAGAAAACGGGAGACGTTAATAATGAAATATCCACGAAGGGAAGACAAGATGCCAGAGTTACAACTAATTCTCTTGCACGCCAAAAGGCCAAAGTTAAGAAAGAAGAGAACCCTACAGTTTCATCTACTGATAAAGTGACGAAGAGTTCTAGAGTTGATGCTGCGAAACTCAAGGATGTGAAGAAAGATATTAATTCAGATTTGAAAAGAGTAAGAGAAACTTTATCAAGGAATAGAACCATCAAAAATGCACCAAATAAACCTACAGCAACTCGGGCTAGTGTTTCAGAGAAAATATCTGAAGGATCCATCAGTAGGCGCATATCAAATGGTAGAAATTAGTGTGCTTTTACTTTTTGATAATATTTCATTACATTCAAATATTGGTTGATCTTGAGTTTATGGTGCCCCTCATTCACAGCCTCCTCCACTCCTATTCAGGAACAGGATATTGTTTACCTGACACCAGACCTTTAAATTAGCATTTCACAATTACTACTATTTTTATTTTTTATGAATGAAGAATGATAATTCTTGTAATTACAAAGTTTCTAACTGGAAACAGAGTATCATGGCTTTCACAACACTTGTTCCAAACACAATCACTGCTCAGTTACTACTAATTTTACTACAGAAGATTGTAATGCAAAGAAAAAGAGCTTCATATAATTCTAGCAGAAACTTTAAATTGAAAATTATAACTATGTCTTTGAAATTATTGGCTGAAGTCTAGTATATGGTACAACTTACTGAAGTTGTTTAAACCGGCACTTCGCACTGCTCTGGCGATAACTGTGCAGTTTGAATTTTGGAGGCTTTCTTGAGAAGTGCTTTCTTATTAAAGTGAATTGGTAATTATGCAGAGGATAGGCTCAAGGATGTTTATATGAACGTGAAGGCCCAAGCCTCGCCCTGACTTGGATCCGGGTGAGCAAAGCAAGAAAACTTGTCTTTGAAAGTAAATTGGCATTACAGTGCGGCAGGAACAAAACGTATGAAGTGCAAGACATGAAAATCGCTTATCTATAAGTTTAATTCATGTCTATCAAAACGCATAATGTAATTTGAGGGAAGGCTTAGGGAGACCCCGCTGCCATGCTTCTCTGATGGTGTACTGTGTACCCTACTTTAACCAAATTATTTATTGTCGTACGTAGTGTCTGATAAGAATTTTTTTTATCATACACTTTTTGTTTTGTTAGGTCAAGTTGGTGTGTCTATGTGGTTGATTATTTGGAGTAGAATTTTTTTATGGATTGCATAATTCAGAAATTAGTATGAATGTCATTCAATGGTGAATGAAAGTGTGTCTTATTGGATTTAGGTATGAGTATTTCATATCTAAGAAAGTGACAAAGTGTACTGAGTGAAAGGAATTGAGTGATGGCTACAAGTGGATGTAAAGAGAGGAATCAGTCCTTATGAGAGTTTCGACTCTCTTTTAGAGAGTTGTTTAAAGGTGCATGAAGTGCTTATAATTTTCTACTTTTGTGTTTTGAACCTTGTGAATTGGTTATGAATGAAGTGATAGTGTGTTCTGGAAACATGGCTGTTTGATTTTGTTTCTGCGTGGAAGAATGCATGAATGTTGTTAAATGGAGTGCAATTAAAAGAAATCTGTCTAGATACAAATGCAAAGACCAGACATCTTGCTCCTGTAAAACTTGCTCAGTGTGGAATATCAAGGGACCAGTATTTTTTTCCATATTAGACAAGATTCCAGATTAAGCAGTGTAACACTGTGGAATTTACATTTGGTGGGACTGTGATTTGTATTCACATTAGACACATTTCTTTGCCTCTGTTCTTTGCCTTGCAGTGCCATAACTTTTATTTTTTTAACTTATATTTTCATAGAATATTTCTGGGTCTCTTTTGTCAGTTCAAAAATTGTTCATTGTAGATTATCTTCAGAATCTGTTATGATTGTTTGATTATCAGCATATGAGATTGTATCTTTTTCTCTTTTCTGATTTGGACACCCTGTTTAATTTATTCCTCCAGTTACTCACCAGGTGGTTGATATGTATGTTGAGAGTAGGCGACACACCACATCCGTGTCTTAGGCCACAAATGCTTGTTATAGTTCCAAACTTTCTCCCACAGAGTTTCATTAAATTTCGTAATACAACAGTAGTATTATTGTGTGGTAGCTGGGGATTGAGAGTAGAGCACTAGTAAAGAATTGTAATATCGTAATATTGTACTAATACTATTAAAGTAGTAGAAACAATGTGTGTGAAGTATATTTTTATAATTATATTTTTAAATGAGTGTTGCATTGTTTTGTGTTAATGGTGATTAATTTGTTACTAGACGAGATTTGTATTGGATCATACACCAGATTCAGCCCTGAATAATATATACAATAGTAAAGGAGGCAGTGACTGAGGGTTACCACAGACCAAGATTAATCCAAATATTTTTTGCTTTCTTCTGTTAGTTTTTGAGTCTCCCTCTGTATTAACAAATTTTAATGATGCAATTTCCTTGCAGATTCTGTTAGAAATAAGAAAGTGTCAGGTACTCCATCTAGCTCAAATAGAGTGTTGCAAACTTCTTCTACGAGATCAAAGACTGATTTAAATAAAAATGTTGAGAGTTCTCCTAGAACAAGACTTGGTAGAAGTGTTAATAGACAAGAGAGTGTCAGTTCTAAAACTAAGGAAAAGCACACATCACAGGATGGCCAACCAAAGAAATTAAGTCGTGAACGAACTCGCACACGTACTTTGAGCCCTCATGAAGTAAAAACAGCTCAAGGTATTTCATCTCTTGATATGCAGGTATGTGTTTCAGTGATCAACTAACATTGAATATTTATGATTCCACATTATAAGAATATTTTGCAATTTCTTAAATGTGAAAAGAATGTGTGAAAATCTCCTTTTAACTATGGAAATTGATGTTGACTTATTTGTGATAAAAAATAATTACTTGAATTCATCAAGTGAAATGAGGATTATAATGCAAGGAATGTTAGAGAGAAATGTTAGATGTTTCAGTTAATTTGATGAAAACAACGGGTAAAATTTATTTTATAATGAGTAAATGATGTTTTTTCATGTGAGTGATAGTCACAAGGAGAAGAAAAGAAAAAAAGAAAGTTGAGAAGAGAGAGCTCATAGAAAAAATGTTTGTACTGAAGGACAAAAATATCGATTTGACAGCCAAAAAGTGTATTACTTGAATAAATTCGTTCACCTGGTTTCACTGTTGCAATATGTAGAAAAATAATAATGTATTGTTTTTATTGTATTTTGTTTTCTATATTTTTATTGTTTATAAAAAATAGATTTTAAATTACTTTATTCCAAATTACTCAAAATGTTAATATGATTTTACTGTTATGTTACCAAATAATTTTTGAGGTACTTATTTTTTTTACATACTTGAGGATATTTTACTTTTGATTTGTATTTAAAATAGACAAGTGCTTGAGAATAATTCGCAAGTATAATGAGAAAAAGTAAAATTGTCGGAGGAAAATGTGTATAAGTTTTAAAATCGTGAAATTTTCACAATTTTTGAACAAACTTTCATTGGTGGCGATAATATCATGGAGAATACAAATTTTGACTTGCAAACTCTTTATGAATGTAGTGTACATATCTGACCTTCCTAAACTAGAATTTTAGTTCAAGTTATGTTGATGTAGCACACTTTTTTGAATCGATGGTGAGATATGAAGATACATCAAAAGTATTGAGAGCTACATTGTCTTTTATAAAGATATAAAATTTAGAATAACACCCACTCTTAAAGACTTTAAACATAATTGTTATAATAGTAATTTTGGTGTTGTTGGATTTTGATAAAGCCCACAGGTTTTTGTAATAAACACTCAAAAGCTTATTAAGTGGGTCAATTGGAAACAGAAAAAATGTTTTTAATATATGAAAATTATGGTGACAATTAAATGATTGAAAATAGGACTAAAGTTGCAAGCCACTAATAACATCTTAGAAATTAACTAGTCTGATCTGAACTTCATTTATACAAGTTTCATGTTTCACCTTGTAGAAAATCCATAAATCATCCAAGAGGACGAACGATATAGCACCAGTTCCATCCGTGTCAGATCTCACCAGATCAGGCCAGGGACCTTCAAATGAACCTGAAAAACAGTCTTTTGATGAAGCAGGTGATAATTATGAAGATGATTTTGAGGTTTGTAATTTTATGATCTAAACATATTTATAATTTAAGTTTCTTGTAATGCATTCTTATATTGATGATCACATTAGCCTAAATTATTTTTGATGTTTTTGTGATGTTGGAAGATGTGCTTTTATATTTTGATCCATCTCTTTCTATGACTTACTCTCTTTTTAAGATTTTTAATACTTTGTAATTTAGACTATAATAATTCGGTTTGGTTCTATTCATTTTATAGGAGCAGTTGTAATCTTATTTTCATTTTTGTTTTAATCAAGACAAAAATGAAAATAAGATTACAACTGCTTACAACTTTTTTTGCCTGCTTTTTCTCTTTATTTTTGTCTTGTTTGTTAGGCAGTACAATGAGTTTGTTCATTTCTTATCAATGGAAATATGCAGATTTGCTCATTAAAGAAACTGTGACCTTAGATTAGACCTTAGACCTCTCTTAACATGTTCAGTCTCCACTTAAAATACAGGGGAATCCTCACAAGTCCTGACAAGCAACTACAATAAAGATGACAGTGTAAATCTAAATTAAAGTTTAAATTGTAGTGTAGGACACGAAATATTTTATGAACTTACTGTAATAGTTTCTGGTGCACCATGGATGAGGCCTGAGTATTAACATGTTTTTTCAAGTCCATGAGTCACATATGATTCATGTGGGGCAAAGTTACTGTTTATTTCTTGGAACTATATCATTAGCTTTTATTGCTCATCGTCAGCAAGAGCTTCCCTTTGATTACTTGTTAGTAATAAGTTGATACTGACCTGGACTTTTTATAATAATTTTCAAATAAATGCAAAGATATTGCTCTGTTTTTAATATAAATCATATATAACACATTGAACGAATATAACATATATCCAATGGTGTCAAAAATTTAAAATAGTCTTATTAATAAAAAAACAAACAATTTTTTACACAGGTTTAGGTACATTAGTTTTTTTAATGTGTGGTCTTTAATATAAGTTCACTGAATATTGAAATCTTGGTAAGTCACATCTGATTTTGTAAAAAATAATTCAGTGGCATATCATATATGACATCTGGCCTTGGCACAAGAAATTAATGTACATCATTTATGATTTCTTGGTCAGAGATTGTTTAAAGTTTGGGATTTTAGATTAATATAAAACAATTGAGGTTGTTGATTTATAGCCAATATTCTGATTTGTCTGATAATTTTAAGAAGGGCTTTCTCTTGGCTCATGAGGAGGTAAAATATTTATATTTGAGGTCCTTGATTGTATCATATATGTGAATTTCAATTGTTTAATTTATATCAATATGAATTTTGTAATCAGACCCAAAAAGTGTTTGCTATTTCGAGGAGTTGCACTGCATGTAACAAGTTGGCATAGGTTTTGTAATATGTTCTGAGGGTGCATTTTTGCCAGGTTCTTCCATTTACTTCTGAATTGTTGATCTTATTCTTGTTATAATTTTTACTTGAAGTATTTTTTTGTGCTTTAAGGCATGCACAAACAAGAAGTTGCAAAAAAACGTATAGGAAATGTAATCTTAAGTTTAATTTTAGAACTGCATCATGTGGGGAAATGATTTATGAATGGGAGCTATTTGAAATTCAGTCAAGACTTCTCGGAGTGGATTTAGAGTTTGTTATGAAATTGAGTGAATGTAAATACTGAAACTAGTTGTATCGCAACAGCACATATTTTCTCACATTATTCATAATGAATTTGTAATACAGTACAACTTAACTCAAGGCAAGGTATTTTTTCTGCATTAGACATGATTCCACATCAAAGAATGAAATACTATAGAATTTACGTTTGCCAGGAGAGGTTTCTGCATTATACATGTTGTGCATTGAGCAAGTTTTACTTTTTTATAATAGTAGTGGAATTCGCAGAATTATTTCCAATCTTCAAAAATAATATTTGCCTAGACTGGGATTCGAATCCATTTGACCACCTGGTAGATAACAGTTGAACAACACACTCAAGGCACCAAGAAGAAAGTTGACTTTTTGCAATTATCAAAATTTCTGAGGTTTTAATGAAAGTGGGACCAATATTATGTATTATTAAGTGAACAGCGATTTATTTGTGGTCACAAATTAAAGCTCAGATTTGGAGCAATGTTTTTAGAAAATCTTGAAGTATTTTTTTAATACTCTTTATTTCACTCAAAATTATACAAAAACAATTTTAAAAAAATATTCTTTATGGATATTATTTTGAAGAACAGATTTCAATTAGAAACATTTCTTTATCTACAGTTGTCGTAGGATGTCAATAACAATTTTTAATTTTTGCAATTTTTGAAAAATTAAAGGTTTTATTGAAAATCTTATCTGCACATTTCATACAAGCATACTCTGCCCTATTTGAACAAAAAGGTTAAAAAAATTAATTGGATATCTTTTTGAGATAATTTCAAAAATGGTACTGGGACTTTATGTAAATTACCTGCCATAAAGAGCCTTTTCAAATTTGAGGACTAATTTCATCAACCTGAACACAGCATATATCAATGAGGAAAATCCTGTGTTCTATACAGACACAAGTGTTGTTCACAGAGAGAGAATGACCCCCTGGGGGAAAAACACTTTTTTGGCATTAAGAAACCATGAAATGTAAACCAGGAGAGGTAGCTCAGTGCAACAACTAATTTCACTGCAGTGCCTCTGACCAGGAGGTTCTAGGTTCGAGCCCCAACAGTGGCAAGATTTTTGTCACAAGCTTGTCAGCTAGATCGAATTCAGTTGCTGTCTGGAGGAGAATACTAGAGGCATGCTGCTCTGATCAATAGTTTTCCTGCTCCAATAAACACCAGGTGAATATCGGAGCAGTACCCTAACAAACAGGTCACGGGCCATGCATGATCTTTCCATCCTCTTCCTTGTCCTTCCTCTCCTCCTACACACACTTACTCCAACTTGCTCTACACTACCACTCACGCTGGGAAACTGATTGGAAGCTTACAGCTTGTTCTGGCCGGAACAGTGGTTGGAGATACCAGATTGGGGGAAACCATGCTAGCTGATGGTAGGTTGGCACCAGATCTTGCCATCTGTCAGGCGAAGATCACTGCTACCTCCCAAGGGGGGGAAATGCACTACACTTACGGAAATAACGACCTCGGTAGTTGATGCACTCAGAATCACTAATAACCAACCAACCAACCAACAAAATGTAATTTCTTACTACATTATATGTTCCATAATCCCACACCACAAACAATTGAAAACATCCACACTGTACACAGGATTTGAACTTACTGCTTTAGTGTCTGCATAAGTACACCTACGAATACTGTTTGTATTAGTTATGAATATGAATGAAAATAATATAAAATATTTGTAAGTAAAATAGACCTTTTTCATGCATCATGTCTGAAATGTGCTTTGCAGCACTGATTCTATTTATGTCAATGACATTCAACATCATCCTTTCCCATCAAATAATGTTAACAGTTTATTTAGTTTTGAAAATCTTTCAATTCAAATTAACACAATATTTGCTTTGCAGTATCCTTTATATTTATATTCATAAAATATTTTTTCAAATTTTTATCAATACTCTGATTGAAATGAGACTTGCAGAATATCTTAGAGCAACAAAACCTCTTTTCATATGAAAAGTTTTGGGGGAAAATGTGGAGCTAGTTTGAGAGTTTTTAATCATGTCAATTTTGTGCACATTAACTCACAAAAATGTTCAAGATTTCCAGAGACTTCATAAGAGATTGTTTAAAACATTTGTGTTCATAAATACAATATTAAATTATAAAATTCACCTTTAAGGAAGATATTTTGAAAAACATTACTAGAGTAATTTTAAAAAATAAAAATTTGAATGAATATGGTACTTATGCCTTACAGTTTAGTGCATTGTTGTCTATGCATTCAAAAAGCTAAAAGAAAAAATGTAGTCACTTTTCAAAAAATGTAGAATTGATACGCTTATAAACTACACAGCCAGAAATAGCACAGGTTCACAGGCACAAAATCTCTAAAATTTTGATAATTGCAAAAGTTAACAATTGGATTAATTTTGGACCTGTTCCGTTAAGTACTATATTTTGTGAATTTAAAGATATTTTTTCATGTTCTTGAAGATTAAATTGTTAAATAATATAATGTTCAATTTTTCTCAAAATATGAGTAGTTTTCACACAATATCGAGTTGTATCGTCAGTCTTTTTGTAGTTGGTAGAAAAAGTTAGAATATTATAATATTTTGTAACTATTCTCTATAATACAAGAAAGTATGTGTTGTTGGAGCAGTACTAATTTCAGATTTCACATAAAATTTCAAATTTATACCCCAATTATATCTGTTCAGATCATGCCAGAGCATTTAATTGGTTGGTGTTTGTTTAATATTGCAAATTTTAATGCTCATACTTTGTCCCAAATTAAGGAATACGAGTCAGATTTTGAGGAAGATGTGTCTGGGTCATCAGAAGGTTTCAATAGTGTCAGTGAATTGACCAATGGAGGTGAAGGCAGCTCAGCAGAAGAAAGCAGTGCATCAGAAGAGGATGAGGTGTTGGAATTGGTGAATAGACCTCTTGTGGAAGAGGAAAAGAAATTAGATTCTGGCAACTATGATCTCACTGAGAGTAAGCGGAAAAGTGGAGATGCGATGCAGGCAAAAGATGTGGAAACTGAGTTCAATGTTGGTAATCGTAAAGGGAAAGAAATACAGCAAATAAAAGAAGCTTTGGAGAAAGAAAATGCTGGAGTATCTCCACGGGGGTAAGTGTTATGGTCATTTAACTACTGAGTTTATATGAGAATTTTAAAGATGAGGCCAAGATTAAACTATTAAAATTTCCGGCTTTAAAAATGAAAGTTCGTAAATGTTGAAGAATTTTTAGTGGAATTTGCAGAGAAATTATGCTGAAGATTAACATTTGTGAAGGAAATTTCTATTTACTGTTTTACTTATGAATTTTATATTCTTGTTATGAAGTATAGCATTCACACTCAGTTTGTAGAAAAGTTCACATAAAGATTTGAAATGTAATTAAAAGTCCATGAGAATTAAATTTTTTTATGATGACAAAAATTGTTTGCTGCAAAATGTACTGTTAAGGGAAACTAAATTATTTTTCAGATGTCACTTTTCTGCAATGAATATAGTAACAAAGTATCTAGAAAAGTAGTATTTTTTTGTGATTTTATAATCATAGCTCAGTTTATATTGATTATAGTTTAAATGAGCACTGGTTATAGTTTTCTGAGTTGACTATGAACCTCAAAATAACATCATTGCTGAGATTATTGTTCTCTGTCTAAGTTCACAGTGCAGTGTTAGATTAATCACTTACCTGACCCCCAAATATTGACTAAGATTCTTGGTCCAGGCCAGGAAATGACAAACTCTGTTATCTAGATTAATTTTTGTAATGCATTGACCATTCTTGTAGAAAACTTTGATTCGAATTATCAGCCAATACTCATGAAGCCCAAACTTTTTGTTAAGAGATATAGAATTTGCTCTCACTGTATTCATGACAGTATATGCTTGGTAGTACAAATTCTGGCAATTACAAGACCACTTGTACACGTTTAATTAATTTAATTTTTCCCCCCTAAATACTCATTTTAAATATCATCCTTTTTTTCAGTAGAGTTTCAGTTCACTGAATCGTACTTTAAATAAAAGAATCATTTAAGAAATTTTGTGAATTAGTTGCAAAATGTTCATATGCATTTGCATTATTTTCAAGATGTTGTGATTGGAGATTATTGTTGTATTAAGGAAAATGTAGTTATTATACTTCATTAAATTTGATTATTATGGAAAACTATGCATATCATAATATAAACTATTATTAGATATTGTCAAGTTACTAAAACGTAGTATTGATGTAGATGCTTTTTTGCATGTGTATATAGAAGAGTAAAAGCACTAATAGAGGCCAAAGTTAATAAAATTTCTGTTGTTTTCTCAAAATTGTTTGTGTGAAACTCAATGGACTATTAGTTGAAAATATTATCTCTTTCTGAACAGATCCCTTGCCTAAAAATGGCTAATTTTTAATTTTTTCAATTTTTTAAAATTAATTTCGAAACAATGAATTTACTCTAGTATTGAACTCCTGAAAATTACAAAATTTAGATTTTGGTCAGATCTTGACTAACTTTTCTACCTTCACTATTTTATCCCCTGAATGTGATTGAGACCAGAAAAATACTGGTTCATGTTACATTATTATTAAGAAATGTCCAGCTTGTAATAATACTTAGCTTATAGCGAATGAAGAACTTATAAAATAAGGGAAAATAAATAAATTTTTTTCATTCTAATCCTCACCACTAGAAGGCATAATCTCCATTTTCTATGAGTTTAAAGAAATTGAGAAGCTTTTTCTTATTTTTCAAATTTTGTGCTTGAAGTGGTCACTATAGGTGTTATTAACACATCATTTATTTTATTTAATTGTTACATTTTATCATTAAATGTATACTGAATAGGAAAATTCATTGAAAATATATAATGATAATATCTGTTTTCTTTCATTTCAAACTAGGGCAAATGTGAAGAACAGCATAATAAGCCATTTCCCAGTGGCTAGAGATGAAGGATTCGAAGAAGAAAAACCAAATGAATCAAAGTTTTGCCAAGGGTTGAAGAAAGCGGGCATTATTAATTTTGCCAGTGCAAAAAAGAAAATGGAAGAACAGAAGGTAAAAAACAATATTAAATACTTCTTGTGAATAATTTCCAGATTGTTGAATAATGTATTTAATTTTACTTTCCCATAGAAATAATGTTGAGAAAATATTGTAATGCTTCAGGAATAAGCATTTCAGTATTTCATTACTTTTAAGGAGTAAAACTCAATTTTTGGGTCCCTCATTTGCAAAATTTGAATTTTTCTTACTCCTATATGTAGTAAATTACTTCCTTGAATGTGTTCTGCAGTGTGAATCCACATTTTGTAGGTCCTTGGTTTCAAAAAGTGCTTTTTGCAAAACATCTGTCTGTCTGTCTGTCTGTCTATGTTTGTGAATAACACTTTCCTTCAGCATACAGAGGAATTTCACCAAAATTGGAGTTCTCTGGTTGATTTGGCTTTTGTTGTGGCTCCCTTGAATTTGAAATTGATCTTAATTTTTGGAGTCCTTTACTCAAGGTACCTCCATTAATTTTTGAAATTTTCTCAAAAATAATGCCTAAAAAAATTTTGTTTGTAATTTTTTTTCTCAAATAGAGTAAAGTTTGTTTACTAATATGACGTAGGTCCCAATTTCATTTAAAGCACTAGAATTTTGAAAGTTTCAAATGTAGAAATTTGTTTGAAATGTGCTCCACACCTTCAATATATTGATTCGTGATATCTTTTGTCAATACATTATCTTTCTTGATATTACATATTTAAATCTTCATGTACATTTTTCGAAAAATAAGTAGTTTTGTAGTAATTTTGTGTTAAATGAAATATTTGTTAGGTTCTACCATTCTCTTTTATATAAAATTGTAGACCAGTAATGCCATCAACCACTGTACCATGTGTAACTTCAGGGTGTTAATCTTCGAGATGCAATAATGAAGGCCAGAATTTGATTTCCGCCATTCTCAGGGAAACTTTTTCCTCCAGTGGGAGAAAGGGTGCTAATAAATGAAATTTGATTTTAATTAAAATATGTGAACTTTCTGTAACTGTTAATCTTAAAAAATTGCAAATTTGTATCTTGAATGTTTGTTTTGCTGAAGATTTGCACAACACGATTAACAAATTGTTAGTAGAATATATTTGGCAAAATTGTGATTTTACTTACCACTTATAAATAATATGAGAAAGAATATGCTGGTAAGCATTGCTACTTCTTATTTTTCTGGCTACAACGTTCACAGAATACACAGAAATATGCCTCAAAGTAAATTCATAAAATTACCTAATTGAAGAATTATAAATATAAAGATAAGTGTTGAACATAATTTTGTCATGCTCTTGTTCTTTTTTTTGTCTAAATTCTAATCAATGCGGTGAGGTCATCCTTAGGAATAAAGATAAAAATAACAAACTTCCAGAAATAAAGTTTTGTAGAACAGAATGAAGTATGTACAAGGCATTTTCCAAGTATCAGGTATTCCAAAATGATTATATTTAAATTTTTCTGTAATAACTTCTAATTTACTAGTTCATAATATTTCTTACATATTTCCAGTGTAAAATTCCATATAATTTTTTAAGTAAGTAACACATTTTTTTAGTGTTAAAAAGTATTAAGAATTGTTGCCTTGAAGTGCAAGGCAGGACAAGGCAGAGATAACAGAGATATAAATAAAATTACTTCCAAATTAAACAATAGATACAAATGATTCCTTTTTCTGACATAACACATGATTGTGATAAATAAACAGGCATGCTACTCTGGGTTACTTTGACTAGTGTTTATTAACTATCCAAATGTAATCTTACAAAATATGAGTGTCTTGTTTTTATATTCCCTCGTGTGTTGACAGGTCACTGCCAAGGCAAAGAAAAGAGGTGAAGAGTTGTTGAGCATGATAAGGTTAGATATTGTAGGTTTTTCACTTCTTGATTTGCCTCCTGTCCCATATGAAGTGTATATGAAAAGTTATGGAAGATCAAACACTCAGCAGGTTAGTAGAATTTTATACACATTGGAAAGGAGGAGAAACAGTTTATTGTGATAACTGAGATATAGGTTCTCTACAGTCTGATGAAAATTAACTAGTAAATGTTGTTTGCTAATCTTCTATTACTGTCACTGATTTTTTCATCAAATGTCAGTCATACCTCTTATTTTATTGGAGAATGATATACAAAATCAGATATAATAAAAGTATGTATTAATTGGTAGTGCAATGGCATGGCTGGGTATGTGAAATGATTTTGTGATATATTTACAATTGTTCATAGGCTTCTGTTCAAACTAATGAGGATAATTTGTCTGAGGAGATTCAAACTGAAGAAATTATTGTAAAAAATAAATGGACTCAGCATCCTGTAGCTTACCATCCTGTTGTTGATAAGGATGATGCAAATGCATCTCTTGTTGTGTTTTCTCAGGTGAGTGATAAATAGCTTAAGTAAGGTTGAGACCTATCAACTTGTAAGTATAGTCCACAAAATATGTAGTATGAAACCGCAAAATATATATGAAAATATGTAGTAAAAACAATTAGAATATGTAACAAATACTGCATAAAAAGGAATATAATTTATGGTATGTCAAATTAACAATTAACACCCAATATAATTTTGCGCACATTGTTGTTGCATCCATGCATGTAGTCATTATTGGAGCTGTCTGGTAGCATTTAATTGTAACTCTTAGTGCTAAACCAGGAGTTTTCAAACTTTTTTTGTCCACGGCTCCCTTGATCTAAAAGAAACTTCTTGTGTCTCCCCTAGCAATAGGGGAATAATTCAAATATAGGGGTTAATATAGGCCTACTAAAAGTTCATTACAAGTGAGTGATATATAAGGCCATTGTTAAAGGAATTGCCATGTTCCATTAATCCACAATTGCTCAATTATATGTCTAGAACGCTCCAAAGTATCGAACGATGGTTATTTGAGCTTTTTTCTTCTTCTAGAAGTAGCAGCAAAACCATTAGACCTTAGCTGCATATGTCCTGTCAACTTTGATGTTGACCAACCACCATTTATTTTACACTGGCCTGTCTTCAACTCAACCACAGGCATATAGCAGCTAAGCCTGGTTTTAGATGAAGATTAGAACCGATACAGTGTGTAAATTATATGGAACAGAAATTTTAATTCCTAAATAAACAATGAAATTCTGTTAAACCATGATGAATGTTACTAAAATATCATCAAATGAGTACAATCAACAAATTGCATAAATTATTGGAACGTTATAAATATTTTTTTATAATTTAAAACTCAAAATTAAAAGGCAATTCTTAAATGAAAAAGCAAAAGACATTTATATTCATTAGTAGTGTGAGATAAATAATATACACGTTAAATAACATACACGTTACCATATAAATAATATACATGTTAAGAAGCACGAAATAATATTAGTTAAGTGAAAGAGAATTTAAAAAATATGCAGAACCACTGATTGTATTACTAGTATCAGACGAGTCTTCAAAAACTTCCATATCCTTTGTCACTGAATCAAAATCTTATAATTTCATCATATCTTTTTTTAACTTTTATTTTATTTATTTTAATTTCAGGAATATTCAGGAATAAACCCTGTCGAGGAGCAATTCTTTAGTGATCTCGACTAATTTAACATCTAGTAATTCGGAATGAAAAAACTTGCTTATATGTTTCATTAAGGATGTCTCTGTGTATTGAAGAAATAAAATTCGCGAAATACTATTTGAGAAGAAAAAATCCCTTGAAATTGACTGTTCCATTGTTGGTATAATGGGCTCTTATGGGTTAATAGAACATTTGCAACCAAACAATATAAATTTACACAGTTTGAAAATGTATTAATAAAATATTTATTAAACCATTTAAAAAAATAAATATGCTTGACCTGCTGGATTAACTTTTTTAAAAGTACTTTTTTTTCTTTGAGAGCAATGTTAGCCATCATGTATTAATGTAGGAACTTACTGACTGGCAAACAATCAGTAGCTATCTGTGTAGTGTTACTTGCCTGGGACAACAAATATTTTGTGGAAATTGGGGTTACACGTCAACAAACACATCAGTACTTCACATGCATGAAGATAATAATCTCAGCGCTCAAGGGCATGGGCTGCCTTATATACGGCATGCAGGAGATTAACCCCAGCAGGAGTACCTCGCATTGTTATGATTCAATTCTGAATTTGTGTAAGAAAAAATGCAGATTTTTAAAAATGTAACTATTTTTAATGTTAATTAAATATTTTTTGAAAAATAAATTTCAAGAAATTTGTTAATTAGTATAAAATTTTGCAAAATATGTAATAGAGAACAAAATATGTAAAAATGTGTAACGAAAAATGTCAATATTGGGTCACAATTTTCATGGTTTGCCAAGATTACAATTTTGAGAACTGAAAATCGAAAGAAAAAATAATACTGAACCTAATATCCAAGCCTGATGATAAGTTTCATAAATTTGCGTTGAATCATATCCAGAGTGGAGGGGCAATGCCCAGATGAGAAGCCTGTCATGAACCTCTTTTGAATGCTGATGTGCTCATATGGTGCGTGTTCATATGGAGACATGTCACTTGGGAGTACTGGCTGACATAATTTTTACTTAATCTGGGAGGAAGAGGGCTTGGTGAGGGAAATTATGAACTCAAGTTCTTAAATGCGCTGTTTATTCATGTAAGTAGCTGGGTAGAGAGAGATAGAGATATAAAGAGGAGTTTCTGGTCATTGGTGAAGACTAGTATGAAATAGCCCTAAACCTATAGCGGCTCGTCACAAGCATATTACCAGGAATAATTTGATTTTATTAACTGGGTTTTGGAGGACAGTTTTTAAAACTATCTCCATTTATTGGTTAAGTGCTTATTATAATGAGCTGCTGTTTTGTTTGTTTCAATGTTTGAATAAAGATAAAATGATATTATGTAAAAATTTTGTTGCAAAAATGTGACTTCTGAAGGAATGTGAACTTTTTTTTTTTTTAATTTCTGGTTAGATAAAAATATAAGTGAAGAATTAATTTTTTAAACATTTTTGTCTAATTGAACATTGGTTGTTACTAGATGAAATATGTAGACTCACATTGCCATTTCAAATTTTATTACCAAAAGCTTTAATTAGAAATTTTGCAAAAGTTTAATACTTCCTTGGAATTTCTATAGAATGAAGCAATATGTTAATGAAATGAAATACTGACCATAAGTACATTTCTGAAGAGAATGAAGTTAAAAATGCTTTAATATAATTAATTTAAAATGCTCTAAAGTTAAACTATGCTATTTGCCTAAATATTCTGCTATTATGTGCTTTTATGAATGTAATTGAATCATGTTTATCTCTATTCTTTTTTGAGCTCTTTATGTAATCTTTTTAATATTGAACATATACAAGTTGTCAATACTTTCAGAATCATTTGGGTTGTGGTGGAGATGGGAATGAAGATCCTGAAATGTGGAAGAAGCTTATAAAATATAATGCAGTAAGACTGAACCAGTTTCTTTTAGGTGCTGGCCAGGTATTTATTATTATTATTATTATTATTATTGTTGTTGTTGTTGTTGTTGTTGTTGTTGTTTTCTTTTGTGTGGGTGGGTGTAATTAAATGCTGTGTCCCCACATATTGCAGTTGCTAATATTTTATAATGTTTTTGTATTATCTACTCTTTTGCTGTGCTCCTAGATTAAAAAAAAATCACTTTTAATTTCAGGCCATATTGCAACACTTGGAGCAGCAATCATTCATCCAAGAGAACAGTCTGTCTCTCAATTCTGTGGCCTCATATTTTAGTAGAGGTTTCTTTAACTTAAATGTGAATGCTGTTCCATTTTTGGCTGGAAGATCTGTTTCGAAGTTATGTTTTTCGAATCTTCAACCTACCTCTTTAATAACTGTGCATATTGAACCTAATGTGTGTTGATATCCTTTCTTTATTTTATTACGTGTTATTCAACAAGACATTCACTGACCATTTTTCTCTGTTTTCTAGAATTCTCTAGAAGCAATTGATGCTATTCTTGGAAGATGTATGCTGTGTATATGGAATATTTTAAAACCATCGGCACCAGAAAAGATTCTTGTATGTTCAAATAGTGTCTCGTCAGTCTGCTTTCATCAAAACATAGATAATTTGGTGTTTGCTGGTTTGCATGAAGGAACTGTATGTGTATGGGATCTTAAAGAATCGGCTGCTGTCCATTGCTTGGGAGATAGAGTAGCATGTGATTGGGTTATCCGTTCACCCACTTACTCAACTGGTAAGCTCGGTTTTGATTTTGGCAAATCTCTAACCTCTTCTCTTGAAGTTGAAAGTGTAAGTGAATAGCCATTCTAAATTCAAACTAAATGCTGACCTCTTCAGTTGGTATGGGAATTTTTCTTAAATTTATAAAATGAATAAGCCTTATAAAAACCTCTTCTGCCATCTGCATATTTTCATGAATTTTTCATTCATTTTAAATGAGTCTTCAGATACAGATTTTATTAGTCAGTGTATTCTTTCCAGTTTTTGAAACTGCTGTAAATTCTTTTTTAAAAATCAAGTATTCTATACAATAAAGATTTATTCCCACTTTATTTTTTTTTTCTTCTTTCTAGCTGAAATTCTGAAAAGTGAAGGTCATCTGACTGAAGTGACTGCCCTTTGTGCAATAGGAAGCACTTTTTCAGACATGTCATCCTTGACAAGTTCACTTGCTCCAATCCAGGTACAGTTTGACGTACTTCGAATATTGTTATGCTATATTGTTCATCAATTGCTGTTCATTTTCTTATTTATTTTTCTAAACATTTTTCTATTTCATGGTATTTTCAAAAGAAAATTTTCAGTGCATTTGAAAAGTGAATTACATTTCAGCTGATAATTTAGACTTTATAAATGTTGATATCTCTGCTTACAGCTTTTGAATTTTGAATAATTAAAGAAAAGTTTGTTGATGTGAATTTTATTATTTAAAAGTGCTCATTCATTTTTTTTCTTTTAAGACAGGGAAAGGTTTGCACAAGTTAATAAAATTCAAATTAATTAGAAACCTACCTTGTTTTTAACCTTCAATTAAATACTATCCAACACTATTATTGTTCTTGGTATCTAGTCTCAACCACATTGAATTAAAATCACTGGTTGTAATGACTGTGAACAAGTTCATCAATTATGTGAAAATTCAACACACTAGGTTAAGAGTCACACAATTTTTGCAATTGCTTATGTACAATGCCTCCATTCAAACTAGGTTGAATACATTCCGCTGTAGTCAGACATTCCAGCTGCTTATTATGCCTTACAGTAATGAAACTTAAAAGCATTCAGAAATTATTTGGTCATTCATTTAATTAATTTACAGGTAGCAGTACACTAATAATGCCTCAATTGGCTCTTTAAATGACCATTCCTCTTTCCAACCACTGACCAGCCTCTTAATAGCAATTTTTTTAATTTACCCCTTAATAAGAGACCACAGTAATGAAAAGGAAAATCAATTAATTCAGGTGGTAGCAAAACTAAGTAGTAATAACATTCATATGACTAGTTGTTTATGCACTTGAATAAAGTTGTGATGTATGAATTGCTATTAGTAATCTGTTGTATAACTTGTGTAAGAGAATATTGGGAAGGTCTTGTTTACTTTACTTATGTATAAAGTATAGAGATTTGGTAAAGTTATTATAAAATGACTAAGATTTGGTTCTATTGTTCTAATGACAATTGCTGCGAGACAATGATAACACATCAAATGAAAATATAGGTTTGCACCGTTTTAGTGTGGCAGAGTGTTCTCTGCTTTTGTGTTAAGATATTATTATAAATTTTGCCCTTCAAATGTATGCAGAATAGTGCAAATGCTGCAGAATAGTTGAAGTATTACAATAACTTATTAAAGTGATTGTTTTCTCTTATGCAGATTTGCAGCCTAGAAATATCTGGTGTTGCTATTGTGTGGACTGTTATACAGAGCTCAGGAACTGGCTTGAAGACAGGACTTGTGCAACAGGACCTTGGACTTGCATATTGGGGAAAAGTGCGACTTGTCCGAAGTATTGTGATCAACATATTTGATGGATTGGAATTGTAAGTATTTTTTTGAAGTGCAATATTAATAATTACATTTTCTTAAGTACTTAATATCAAAAATTAATTGCAGGAATAGTAATTTTCTTCCAAACATTGAATGTCGAGACATGATAACCGATCCTGCGGACCCAAGCCACTTTTATGTGTGTACAAATTCAGGTTACATAGTTCACTGTTTGTCAAGTGGTTGTAAACCTCATCCTAAGGTTTACTCCTCAAATGAAGGCAAGCATGTTTCTCTTGATAAAATCTTTCACATTTTAAAGATGTTCACATATGCTTTGCAGCACTCTATTCTAAAGAGGAAGAATAAATAATTAATTTAACACTTCGTAGGGTTGATGTTTAATGGGTGGTTTTGTGCATAACTCCATGCTGCAAAATAGTTTTTCTAGTAATAGTAATATGATTTTCCACAAAGTATCTGCATGTTTCACGTAGCTTATTACGTTGCACAAGAACACACACATTTTTCTGGGACGCAGTTACCACGGAACAACACTCACAAATCACTTTACACCATAAATGTGTTCTGTGTTATTAAATGTTTTATTTTGATCACATTGTGCATGAAATTACATTTTTATAAAAAAAAAAAATTATCTTCAATTATTTTTATGTTGTGCTAATATTTCTGTAATCTAGATGATACAATTGTTAATTTGGGATGGATGATTCTTAATAAATTCAGGCTCATGCATCAGAGGTTCATTCATACTTTCATTTAGAAGAAAATATAAGTTTGCAATTCACTCAAAGAATTTTATTTTTTCAAAAATATTTTGATCATATGAAAGTACAAAAATTCAAGAGTCACAGGTTCATTTTGATTTAATGAAGATACAGCTCAGTAGGTTCATTGGACATGTGGTTTTCTTGATATCAGTCAACGATTCACTGATATAGCAGCAAATTTTAGAACTCATTACTTACATATACACATTTACGTAAATCGTAATTATTTGTCTTCAATCTACACAAAAGTCATTTAATGGATGGAATAAATGACAGGAAGTATTAAAAATGAATTTGTTTGTAATAGTTCTTGTATTGTTCATTCCACTAGTAAATGCATGAAATTGAACTTTGTTTTAAATTAATTGTTATTGTAAATATATAGCAAAGAAATTTTGTGTTGTTTATCTCTCTTTAAATTTCAGTTTGCTAAAAAAATTCACTAAAGCTGACATTCAATAGGAGTGTTCCAAATGTTTATCTCTTATGCTTGTTAGTGAACTATTAAAAATTTTGTTAGGACATTTTTTTAATTAATTTTTTCCATATTTTCTGATTTTAAAATGTATTTTATCATTATTTCTTAGTAATACACTTTTCTGATAAATTAATCTCATAGATCGTTTGAATTATTTGGAAACAAATTGGTAATAATTCAATAATAGTTAATTCCTCTGTAACAGAATCATTGTGTATGCATATGTTTCTTAGTGTTCTTTATTATTACAATTTTTTATTCTTTCAGAATTATAGTGCCAGTTTCCAAAAAAATTGTTAGGTATTATTTATTTACTGCACAATTATTCTGTTGAAGATTCATATTTTTGTATTGCTTTGCTGTAGGTGGACTTTTGCCTACTACTTGTATGGAGAACATGGTTGATCATAATTATATGCTTGTAAGTTTGTGTTATACCGTATTTAAATGAAATATGTCTTTTATGTTTGGCAAAATGATATCTGACATGCCTCTGATTGTATTTCTATTTCTGATATTAATGTTTTATTTTAGATTGGTCTTGAAGGAGGTATTGTTCAATTGTATTGCCGTAATTCTCGAAACCCCTTGGCAACATATGCTGGCACAGCAGATGTGATGGGTCAAGGGCCATCTATTGAGAGCATCCAAGCTTCTAGTGTTCATCCTGCACAATTTTTCATTTTGGACAAATTGTCTAGGTAAGAAGCTCTAATTTTCTAAAAGGAAATGTGATGCAGTATTTCTTTTAACAGTGGTTGTAAAACAAATGGAATTGTGTTTGTGCATATTGTTAAAGAGAAATTAGAGGAATATTTAAGTGTGTTAATGACTATATATATTTTTTTGTTGTTGATATTTTGAAGATTTTGATTTGAGATTTGGCCGAGTGAGGAACAGACATAAAAGAGTCATCATAGAAGATCAGGAATAGATAATTTGTTGAAAATATCTGTTCCTCACTCGGCCAAATCTCAAACCAGAATCTTCAAAATATCTTCTACAAGAAACAATGAAAGCACATGCAATTCTGTCTTTTTGTGTCCAGTTTTATTATATTTCTGTATTTGCTTCTTAAGTTTATATCCTTGGCATTACTATCATCCCTTACCCACAAATTTTTCATACCCCTATTAAATACAGTGCGCCAGGAAAGTGGAACTGTAGTGGAACCAGTGACTGGTGAGATTCCTTGCAATAGAAATTACATTAGTAGCACAAATTGCAGCTTTTAAAAAATGAAAACGTAAATTGTGTACTCCCAACAATTATAACAGATGCTGGAAGTGTTGTCCTCTTTATTCGTTTCCCAGTGATCTGGTTGTTACGAATGTAAATGCAATTGTTAGTAAGAGTCCATGATTTGGCATGGTGCAGAGATACTTTCCTAACACACATTATTTTCATCACGAAAATACTCACTGGAGGTGCCATGCTAACCTAGTTGTAATAGTATTATAGTGAAGACAATTGTATGTCATAGTTGATTTTGTTCTTTTAGTTTGTACTGTCAAAGCATGTGGTAAAGGGAAGGGTATGCAATGCATTTTAAAATAATTTTAAATGCGTATGCATTATGACACGTTTTGATCTAATAATCATTTGTTTCAATTTATAGCAAATAAATCTAAAATTTATGGTTAATGACTTAAATGCAACCTGAACAAAAAAATCTGTTTTGCAATTACAGTAAAACAATAAATTTGCAAGGAATTATGGCATGTGTATGATAATGAAAGACTCACAACTCCCGAAGATTCACCAGTAATTTTTAGACTTTTGCCTCTATTAGAATATGATGGAAATCATGTCTTCTTAGTTTGAATATTTCAAGAAAATATGATTTGTACTGTTCTAAAACAAAATTCTAGAAAATAATAATAAATGTGTGGAAATGCATTTACTGGTTATATTAACATTAAATATTCTAAATATGAATATTAGAAGATATAGAATGTGATTAAAATCATGTTTCTGAATAGTTTAAATATTTCAGGAATATATTGAGAATAGGGAATAGATAATAGTGAGAAAAAGAAATTTAAAATTTTACATTATTAAATTATATTAATTACAAACTTCACTATTATAAATAAATTTCTTGGGATAAATCTTGTTACAGAATTCACATCTGGAATTTGACTGAAAGTGATATTGTGCCCGTAAAATCTCTGAACTTTGAGAAGAAAATATTGTCAATGAAATTGTCAAAGCCTAAGGAAAATGAGCCGATGTATTTGGTAAGTTTTAATCTGTGTGTAGGCGTAGGTGTGCATGTGTGTGTGTGTGTGTGTGTGGGGGGGGCGTGAGTGCATTCATGTTTGTGGGTATGTGTGGGGGAATGTAAATATGGTGGTGTAAGTGTCTGCATGTGGGTATGCATGCATGCATGTGTGTGTGTGTGTGTGTGTGTACATATGTAATTGGGAGGGAGGAAAGCATTACTAGTGTGCACTTCTTATAGTGTATACTTGCTGTATTGTTTTCTCATTTGTCATTTTTTATTTACAGGCAATTGCAATGGCAAATGGTGATGTGGAGCTTTATCAACTGAAGCCTGAATTTTGTTTCAAATCAACTACACAGTTTAATGAGGAACTGCAGGGTTTCATAGCTTATGCAAAAGAACTGTAATAGTACCTTTGCATATTTTCTAGTCATTTATTGCATTTAACTTGGGATCCACAATGTGTGGAAATTTGTCCTTGTGAAGGGCAGAGTGATCAAAACATTCCGTCCTTTTATCATCTGACTTCAGCTATTCTGAAGAATTTAAGTGTCTTACTACAGTTAAGGATAGTACATGCTAGACTTACAGAATTATGTTGAAAAATATTATTGATTTTACAAACTGTTATTGATCAAGTAGATATGGTTTGTTTACATGCACATCAAGTTAATTATTTAGTAGAATAGTTTCTTTCTTCACGTATATTTTTATTACATATTAATTACAACTGAATCAGTACTATGTAATTTATTGCTCAAATGAACAATTGTGTTGATATTGTTTCAAAATAATTAAAAATTATACAGTGCAAAAATAGTTTACATTTTTAAAAAAGATTGTTATATTCCAATGGTATTCTGATGCTGACAAATTCTATTTCATTATTTTTGATAAATAGATAATTTAAGATTGGATTTACTCTTCAGTAATTAAAATGTGTTCTGTGTAAAGGTTTTTACTGCAACAATTGAAAATTTGTTGCATTATTGGTATTCCTTTTTGCTTCAAAAAGTGTCCATGAATTTTATATCTAGGAATTACAGTGTTCATAATTTACATTTCCTTTTAACTTCACTATACATTTCATAACGTAGGAAATTAATAATTCATAAATATATACACACATGGACAAATGTAATTCCAGTTCTTAAAATTGATCCATTATGTAAAACCTTTTAAAATAAAAATAAAACAAAAACAAAATTGAGATAATGGGTATTTTTAGATATAATTCATGAGATCTTACTTTGAGATTGAAAGTTGTGTGGCACGAAGGCAGGCAGAGATTAGAACACAAGTCTGACCACTCAAGGTATGGTTGGTTTAAGAGGTGAGCCTAGCCCTCTTTATGTCATTATGATCATTGTCTCATGTATATGAAATGTGCATCATAAACTGTATACAGCGATTAAGATTTCTGATGAAGGTATCTTATTGGAGAGGGATCTCCTCTAGCTTGGCAAGAGTTTGTGGGTTTGCCAACACTGCATCATATTCTTACTAGTTGATGGTACCAAAGAAAGATCTTCCAGATTATAGATCTGGGATGAATATTAGTCAATAGCATTAGCAGAAAACTATAAATTATTGCCAAAGTAATCAATGAGAAATTATAGTTGCATTCTTTATTTATGAAACTAAAAATAGACTGCATTTGTGGAATACCCAAGTCTCTTCTTGAATAATGTATGTTGTAAATTTCTAAAATGTTTTGTGAATTTTATTCAGTTGTGTTTGCTATTACACAGAGAGCAAATAACTAAAAGCACGGACACTAAGCTTTTCTTTGGGTGAAATGAAAATTAGTGTGTAATCTTTTCACAGTTTTGTGCATCAATTTACCAAGTAAAATATTGTAACTCTGGCACACATCCTTCTCACTCTTTTAATTACAAATCATTTCATCCATCAATCTCATCTTGTTTCATTAATTTTTACTGACTTTTAGTTCATTTTCTTTTATATGTTAGTTTTTGTTCCAGAAGCTTATTCTTTTTGGTTTAGTTTGATAAACCTCTTGGCCAAAAATTCAGATTCCTATTTGTTTTATTATATTACTATTGAATAAGCATATGAAAAAGTATATTTCAGTGGTGCCTGCTGGGTGCCAAAAAGAATTAGGTATTGTTATTCATTTTTTACAAAGGAGTCCACTGAGTTGATCTAATTTTTTAAATTTTGGAATTAGTGTCACTTCTTTTCCTTTTGTTTGGAGGGATAAAAGAATTTACAGAGGGCCCTACAAATAATCAATAGTCATATTTTTTTAGCTTAGCCTCTTTCCTTGTTAACATTCATACCTTTCATTTAACATAGTTGTTCTCCATAACTCATTTATTGGCAATAATAATAAATATTGCTTAAAAATGTTTCAAATTTTTTTGTTACATGAGTTCTCTGAAAATGAGCAGTGTATTTGGGTGCATGAACTAGGAGATAGAAGGAATTCGCATTCACATGCATTTATTTATATATATATAAATCCTGCACTGTCATAATTGTTTTCTACACCTCTTTGTTGTGTGATTTTTTTTTTTTTAGATACGTTTCAGTAAAATTTTGAATATATTACAATCACCACAATAACTACTGTACACAATAATGTACACAATAGTGTACTAACAATGTGATTATTGATTTTTGATATGTGATTATTAAATTGAATTTATATTCTGATTCAAAATCAAAAAAGATTATGGATCTTTTTCGTTTGTTCATACTTGACAATTACAGTCTGGAAAAAAGTAGTATTAAATGGCAAAATATGTACATTAATATGTAATGAAAACAAGAATATGTAATAAATATGTAAAAAGGGATATAATATGTTATAGCAAATTTATAGAACATTTACAACCAAACAAAATAAATGAACACAATTTGAAATTACATTAATAAAATATTTATTAAACCAATTTTAAAAATAAATATTGCTTGGCCTCCTGGATTAACTTTTTTTAAAGTAGATTTTTTTTATCTTTGAGAGCAATGTTGGCTATCCTATATATGTTTAGAACTCGAATCGTGAACAAACACTAGCATTGCCTTTGTATTGTTGCGTGTCTATGACAACCAATATTTTGTGAATATTGGAATTAAAGATCAAGAAACAACATTAATGATACTTTCCATCCCTAAAGGTAATATTCCAAAAGCTCATGCATTTTTGTTGTAACATTTATGATATACCAAGAGAGGTTGACCTAAACAGTACATCTGACCATGTCTTCATGTGGAGCACCTTGCATCAACAGCAAGCAAATTTGAATTTTTGTGTGAAAAAAAAATAGAATTTTTGAAATAAAACTATTAAAATTCATTTAATAGTTATTAAATAAAATATGTAATTATGTGTGGAATCCATATCTTGATGATCACTTATGTTTACACTGGGGTGCACCATATATTATTGTGCAGAACATGGTAATGGATGATGCTTATGTATGTTATTAAATAAATTTTCATTATAGTTCAATTTTCCTGTTTCAAACACTTGCATAAATTTTGTAACAAGAAGTTTTTCAGAAATTCTCCAATAGCAAATTCTCCTTTACATGTAGAGTAAAAATTATCCTGGTATGCAACTAATTTTTGCAGAGTGAGAGGGATGCAAAAAACTTCAATTAAACATTTGTTTAATTTGTTTGAAATAAATCATATTTGAACTTTTAATTGAATGTACAGGGAGCAAGTGGGTCATTAAAATTCAGGGTTCTTCACTTGTCCTTTACAGAATTAGACCAATTCTTCCATCAAACTAGTTTGGGAATAGACTGAAAGAAAGTAATGATAAGTAGTTCGACATTTTTTAGTTTATCTTGAGGCTTTATGAGTAATGAGTAATTTTCAAAATGTAAATCAAAGAAACTTATCTGCAAAGCAAAATTTTAAGACAGAAATCCAAAAATGAAAATAGAGTGCTTATAAAGGAATAATGTTTGCGAAATATAATTGCAATTTATTCTTAATCTTCCTTTCAAGTTTGAATTTAATTGCAATGTAAAAGAATAACTGCTAATGAAAATTATTTATAAAACAATTTTTGTAATACGCCTTTCATCCAATTATAACAATTTCTGAATAGACGACAGGCAGAAACGAATTACGTTCTACCCGAAACCGAAATACGTTCGTTTAGTTAACTGACAATTTGAGGCAATAAACATTGCTATTGCAGTAGTACGTGTGGTGAAATATTTTTTAAAAGTAAATAGAAGTTTGAATTCGAGTTTAAGGTTTCCTACTTTCGTTTTATAGCACTAAGCTCAAAGCAAAGAAAAACTTATTAAAATTGAGGAAATGCCATGTTGCAAATAATATTATTTCTGATTATTTCCACCATGGGAAATGCTTATTTGAATATTCACAGAATGTCCACAACGGTTATACGGACAATCTAGGAAAGCACGGAAAGCACTACGAAAATCCGGAAAGATGCTCCATGAATGGTGGATTGTCTTTGGAGTCCGTGAGACGTGGCATTTTCACTACCCGGGGAACTTCCAATCACATCGTAGCTTTCATTCATAATAGGCGTGGTCTGTTTTCGTCCTCGGCAGGTCTCTTGGTCTCTCCGGGTAATTGAAGCTTGTCGCATCAGTAGCAGTTGTTCAGTGGTGTCTCGGAGGTATCAGGCGGTGTTTAAATTTAATAAGCCTGTTTTCGTTGTAGACACAAGTGAGGTAAATACCTATTATATATATTTTTCTAGTAGAATTGATATCATCAGAACATTTTCCAGTGTACTCTTAATCGAAGAGTACGTTAATTCTGTCAGAAGTAAAAGGTTTTCCATATGATGTACACCCTGGTTGGATTTGCTTAATAGTTATTCTTGCTATGTAATGTCAGTTACGATAATTTTGATACGATAGTTTAGGTCCGACTCCTAAACCTCACTTTTTAGTTCAGAAGTGAATTGTTGCGAGACTGTGTACTTTTCATGTTTTCTACAATTGTAACTTTTAATTATTCTGGTGTTTTCAGTTTACTAATTGCGTCTTGAAGATGGATTTGCAGTCTGCTTTAATTTGCGGGGGAGTAGCCGCCGTTTCTGCTGTCGTTATATACGTCATATCAGTGTTTAGTATGCGAGAAAAGACGTATGAAGAAGCAATTGCTGAGCAAAGGAAACTACCTGAAGAGAACCTTCTTTTAGGTCGTAGTGCGAAGGATAAAGCTAAAGACAAGAAACAGAAGAAATTGGGGAAAAAGGTAAAGGAAAAAACCACTGATCAAGACAGAAATGAACAAGCTGATATGTCATCTAAGTCGGCAGTACAGACGTCAAAGGTACATGTTGATTTTGAAGAACCTGAAGCAGAAGTTGTAAGTGAACGCCCATCACAGGTAGTTAAGCTGCTTTTATTCTGAAGATCTTAGTCCATGTGCTTTCTCAGTACACAGTTTTAGTGATCTTTAACATGGCAAAATTTGGACTCATTGCAATTGCTTCTTTGACATATGCTTTGCTAATCCCAGTGTGTAGTTTTAAGATTTTGAATATCCCTTGAAATGGTGGTTAGTCATATTATTATTGTTTTGACACAATTATCCCTTGTAGCTGACAACATGTTCACTGTTGTGTGTAATTGTTGCTTTTTAAAAATTTGTTTGAATGGCTTTTCCTATGTATTTTTGCCATAAACTAAAAATTGTTTGCAACTAAGTTTTATGCTTTTGGAAAGTCACATTTTGTGTTCTTTTTATCTTCATTGATTTTTCATTCCTCTTTATTTTATGATATATATTAAATTTTTAATTTGTTTTGTGCAAGATCTTAAACTTCAGATACAGGCAGCTAATTTTGTGTGGTTGGGTTCTTATGTTCTGCTATTTGCAATAGTGCGAATAGGTGTAGCATGCACTCATTAAAACAATGAATTTTTAGTCCTTTCTTCATTAAGAAAGTTTGATATTGTAATCATAAAGAAAATTCAAAACATGAAGTCATGCTGCATCTTTAACTGTAAACAGGCTTGTAGTGACTGATTTACTTCAATAATATAGAAATTAACTATGTGGATTAAGAATGGTTTCAACATTAAACTAATACTATGTCATGCTCTTTCTCTTAGAGATAGAGAATAATTGTGAAGTACATTTATGTTGAGACTTTGTTACTATATCAGCATGTGTGTGGTTAACATTCTTCTGTAACTTATTGGAAATGCTTTCATCATTAGGAAACTGTACCTATGCTAAACATTTCCGTATTTGTTAAAGAAGCTATTTTTTATTACATTTTTAACATTAGAGCAGCATGTAGATGTTTTATAATTTTATTTAAATCCCATTCAGTTCATGAATGAAGATGCACTTATTGAGAAAATTATTTTAATGAATTTCAGTATCATAAAATTAATTTTTTAGGAGGATAAAAAGAAGAAGAAAAAGGAAAAGGTGAAACCTATCCTGTTAAATAAAGATGAGCATAGTATCATAGTTGATGATCCCCCTAATCCTGCAAATCATTTTGAGGAAATTTTGCCAAAAGATGATTTCTTGCTGAAACGTAAAGAAAGCGTGAGTCTCAAATCTGTCATTGATGTGTTTCTGTGTTGATTTTGTATTGATTGAAAATAATTTTTGCGTTATTGATTGGTGTTTAGTGTTGACAGAGAGTTCTTAAGTGTTGTAGAGAAAGACATGACTGATGGTATATGTTGTGAATGAGTATTTTTCTCCATTGAATCTGCTTCTTAACATAATTATTTTTATTTTATTTTTTTTTATAAAGAATGCCTGGCAAAGAAATTTTATCATATTCCTAGCTTGCATGTTTGTACGTTAGGAAACTGCCAGTGAAGTAGATTTTGAAATTTAGATGCCCCTTTCAGGAAATCTTACTGTTATTAACATGTCTTGTCTTTTTGTAGCGTGAAGAGAATGTTGTGAAGAACAATCCTGAATCCATTGCTAGAGAAGTCCCCAAGCTGCAGTCTTCTGCTAAATTAAGTACTAAAGCTGATGGGCCTCCTTCCAACAAGCAGGAAAAAGAAAAATCATCTACTAAGACAGAAAACACATCTGCTCCCAAAACCGAGCGTGCTCAGATATCTAACAAGTCAGACCATGAAACTGTTGAGAAGGACAAGGACACAGGTGCAAAGCCAGAGAAAGCTTTCTCTAAAGCTACAAACATAAAAGCTGAAAAGCAAGCTGTTCCAAAAGCTGATAAAGCAGAGAAGGCTGCTACCAAGGTGGAAAAGGCGTCAGGAAAACCTGAGAAAATATCTGCCGAAAAGCCAGAGAAGAATGCTTCTGCGAAGCCAGAGAAGTCTGCTGCTGCGAAGGGTGAGAAGTCTGCAACATCTGTTACTGCAGCAAAGCAAGAGAAGCCTGCATCCACTAAAAGTGACAAATCTGCAGCCTCAAAGTCTGAGAAGAATAGCAATGTGCAAGATACCCCTACGGCCAAAGTCCCCCCTCCGGCTCCTGCGAGCGATGCTGTTAGTGCTGAAGTTGCTCCTCCAGTGGTGACAGCTGTGGTGGTGAAAGAGTCTGCCGCCATTCCTGTGAAGGAGAAGAACCGCAAGAAAAAGAGCGAGTTGGCAACCTTGCAACAAATGAGTGAGTGTTATCAGTTTTTTATAAAATTTTTCCCACCCTGTTACATTGAGGTGCAATGTAAATATTTGATTTTAATGTATTGTCCAGAGAAAGTAAATTACCAAAGTAAATTGTGAAAAGCTTTAGAGTTGAAAATGGCTGGTAGTATTATTTTAGTAATAATACACACTTTAAACTTATTTGCTGAAAGATACATTTGTACCATCTGTTAAAAGAAATTGAGAAGGAACATTGCAAGTCCGAAAATAACACAAATCTTTTGAATCTTTTGCAAATTTTAATATCTCGGAAACGTGGTGTATCTCCTCATGTGAAAATAATAATAATAATAATAATAATAATAATAATAATAATAATAATAATAATAATAATTATTATTATTATTATTATTATATTATTGTTTAAATTATTGAATTTTTCGGATTGTAGACTGTTTTTTGTTTGTGTTCATCGGATGTTGGGCAGTTTTTAAAAATTGCTTTAATGGTCCCATTAAAATCTATGTTCGTAAATGACATAGAAAGAAAAAGTCGTTTGCCAAGATAATCTAATGGTGTGTGATAGCTAAAGAAAGTAAAGCTTAAGGGATTAGTCACTTATGAAACGTGACCTCTCGTAAGATGACCTCAACCTTCTTTGAAATGCACTAGCGCGTTTAGAAAGATGTCGCATGCTACCGAATGTTTCAGTGTGAGAAATGGGACGGGCTGTTCTCATGCACTGCTCGTTTCAGGTGATGTCCTGTTTTGCTGTCATGCTTGTTTTACATGTATTTCGATTGCGAAATTCAAATTGTTGACTGTCAGATTCAGATCGTGAGACCTCGCAACAGGCTATATTAAAAGCTACTGGATTGTGGTGTTAGTCTGTTGCGTTTCTAGGAGGGACTTACGTAATCTCGAATTTTCGTTGAAATTAAATTTTTCGTTTAAGTATCTGCCGAAATTAAATTCGACTTGTTTCTGGAAGGGGGATACCGAGGCAAGTGAAGTTCTTCTCTATACTATTTCGCCTAGCGTTTTCAGGGTTTGTGTAATTACCTGTCATTCAAATAAAACTTTTACTGATCGCCGAGGTCGCTAAATCTGAAGCTGCCTCATGCCTTAAGGGTCGCGGGTTCGAATTCCGCCCGGGGCATAGGTGTGGGTGTGCGTGCGTGCATATACCGTTAGTTACCCTCAATGTTAGTAGTCGCTATATGACCTTTGTTCTTGAAAAGATACCTTAAATAAGGAAAAGAAGTAATTTTCTGATCAGTTTCACTTATTTTAAAATTCAACTTAGATGCAAGCTGTCCGGGTAAAAAAAAGCTTTAGATTCCTATATTATCAGAGAATTAACCAGTTTTGAAAGAATGTTGGAAAAGTGTGTTGAAGATCGAAAATTTTATAACAAATGGTTTGTTACGAAGTACGAGTCCCAACCGACTGGGAGTACCAGTTCATAGTGGGTCATTCGGGAGATAATTTCCAAGGACACTGCCAGCAAGAAAATTGGGGGAAGTGGACAAATGGAACTAATTTATTTACTGGGACGGGTATACTAATTATCCGATTCTAATCCACAATCAAAATATTTATTACGTGATGCCGGTGGAGGGATTAATGTTGCTTTTGGCAATTTATCTGGAAGGGAACTCACAATTGCTTGCGGCCATGACGGTTGTTAGGATTGGATGTGTTGTTCACTGTCTTGTGTAGTCTTAATACATGAATGACTTATGAATTCTACTCTTCGAATGTATACGGTAGTTATTCCTGAAAGCAGTGCCGGCTAATGGATTAATTGATTGCTGTTGGCAGACACGGATTGTATCGTGAGATGAACACGAGTTGTTTCGTGAGTAGTATGCGTGCGTGAGTAGCGTTTAATAGCTTCAGTCTGAATTGCCTAATTTTGTCTGGATATTAATAAAACACGAACAGTGGTATGCCCACTAGTAAACGCCGCAACGGTTAATCGCTTTTAGCTTTCAATACGTCTGTTCAAAAACGAACGCAGTTGCAGATACCCGCTGATGGCAGAAATGTTCAGTCCATCGGACGAGAATAGTACAGTGAAGATCATGTTTATTATTAATTGTGAATATTATACTGATGCGGGTTTTGGCAGTGGCAAATGTCTAGTGAACTGATTTTACAATTACTTATCACATACTTCTAGGTGAAGGGAGGGGCATAAAACTACATTTTGCGAACGGAACCACGTATTTCTTAAGCATGTTGTTTCGTTGCGTGACGAACTTCCGCCCCTCGCGAGAGAGAAACCCGGCCACAGCTGTGGGCTCGATGCAGAGGAGCAGCGAAGGCCCGTCTTTAAACCGGCCGGCCGGCCGGCGGCGGCGGCGGCGGCGGCGTTGGCTGCTGTGGCAAGTTGCACACGTGGCGCGGGCGGCGCGGCGCGGCGCGGTGCGGCGCGGTCGCCGAGATGCCACGTTCGCTCGCGTCTCCCACTCCGACTTCCGCGCCCTCTCCCGCTCTCGCCCGTCTCCTTTCACTCGATAGCGGAAGCGAAGCTCCCCTTGGCGTTTGGACGGTGCGGACCGTGCCACCCTTGAAATTTTACCATTTCAAGTTCTAGTTTTGGATGTGAAGAAATTTACCACGTAACTGAAGTCGGTGTTTCTATGATCACGTAAATGTTCACTAAGTAAACTTAAAATAATTTCGACGGTTGCATGGACCTGATTTGTCGCCATCAGAAACACTACACGAGTAGACAGCTGGACGAAGTCGGAAGTTTTCGCAAGTGGCGATCCCCTAACATTAGTTGGAATGTAAATAACTTTTTCAACCTGTTAATTTGAAAGTGGTGGAGGGACAGAACGCTGGAGCGCTGTACCCAATCACCCCGCATCGGAAGCGCTCCCAGTCGAGAAAAATGAACGTGCGCCCGAATGGTTGCAGTACTTTTCGCTGATCGGTAGGCTTCTCGCTGGGGTTTCTGCAGCGAAGCGCGCGCGGTTTTTTGTTTTTGTTTGACGAAAAATTAAACTTGGGGATGCCACATCGGGATGCGTTGACCACGTAGCTTCAGCACGGGCGCTGACTCGGCGGCCCGACTTTGGCATCTGCTTTGAAAAGTCTCTTAATTATTAAAAAAAAGTACACCCTAGCTTGTTAATCTTTTCCTCGTAGTGTCCACCTTGTCTCCTCTCAGGCCGCGCCAGTGCATGCGAGTGGCCGAAACCCGGCTGCTGACAGTGGTCAGTAGTCGCTTGGCGCGTGCGGGAGAGCGCGAGCACGGGCGGCTGCTGCGTGGCGTGGCGGGGCGAGGCGAGGCGACCTTCGGCGCGGGGTCGTCGGCGTCGGCGGCGATAGCCTCGGCTCGCCGCGCCGCGCCGCCTCGGCGGAGCCTTCGCTCGCAGCGCGCCGCCGCCGCCGGCGTGGCAGCCACGGGGCAAGATGCGGGGCAGGCGCCGCGCCACGCCACCCTCATAATGCCCGTCTCCACATGTGCGGCGTCCTGCAGCGCCAGGGTGCGAATATTGGGGAAAATATCAATACGTTGAGTTACAAAAAAAAAGTCGAAAGTTGAAATTCCTCTAGCAGCCTATCAGGTAGCCAATCAGGTTAATGTTATTAGCGGTCACCAATGGTGACTTAAGCGGTTAGCAATGATTTCGGCAAAACTATGCTGTGAATCAGGGGTATGGCTACTGGTAGCTTAAGTGAAAACTAATTGTACTATTTGCTATGAAATTGTTCTTCTTGTCGTTACTTACAATAAACGACAAAAATGTAATTGTAAAGGTTTTAGGATCATTTGCATCCTGTCAGAATACATGTAAAGACACCTTTCACGTGTCACCCATTCTCTTAGTCGAGTAGTAGTCGTAGGTACCCAGTCTCTTAATCGAGTAGATTTGTAGATGCAATTCGTATCCTGTAGAAACTTTACGGCAGGGCCATCTGAGAGTTGGTGAATGACCGTGACCGTGGGCGACGTGCTCCGGTAGTCCTTCAGATTTCCACAGAAGAGAAGCAAGAGTTAGCAAACCAAGGGAATGTCGTGAAAGTGGTGAAACTATCACGTTGTGGTTTCATTATGATACAATATTAAAATCTGTTCTTACTTGAAACCGAAAGCAATCCCCGTGCGCGATAAGAGACTGTAATTATTCGAAGTAATCAGACAATGCGTTCCGTCGTAAGTAAATATTAAATCAATAGGAATATCGACAACTTTTCCGCTAGTTAAAATAAGTTTAAAATCGCTTGAGGTGACCCTTGATAAAGGTCAATTTACAAAATGTGTACCACACTGGTGGCTGCTAGGAATATTTACGTGTATTGTGGAAAAATCTATCGGTTCCATGAAAAAATAACCGTTAATCGAGGTGACCGCTTAATAGAGGTGACCTATTGATCAGGTTTCGCCAAATCTCGGAACTTTAAAATACTCACTCTATTCGCTTCGCTTACTATGAGCTCGCACACTCACACGCTTGCGCCCGCGCTAGACCAAGACCTTGAAGATCCTGACCAAACAGCTTGAACCAAACCAAATGACTTTACTGAACGAAGCAGATGATTTAACGGATAAATTACGGCAGATAAGCGTTCATCCTATTAATTTAACGATTTTATGTGGTTATACCCTATAACCGGATAATAAGCGATAATATAACTGGGATCCAGTACCTTTTAATCTAAAACAAACATTGAGAAGTTTGGTTAAAGTAGAAAGCACAAGTATCTTTCTAAACGAAAATCCTAAGTGTTTTAGAAATGTAGATTTGCTCCTTAAAAGATTAAAAAAAATTGTTTTAAGACTTTTTTGTCTTGAACCTATCATTTTAGAATTTATTTCCGTGAGGGGAGGGTTTGAATTGAATCTGCGTTTACGCAGCACATTGAAGAAAAAGAAAAAAATACGACTTACGGCCGTTCTTGGAAGTGTTTTGGTTTTGCAGTTTCCTTGACCTAAGAATTTAAAACGGGAACTTGTAAATCAGAGGCACGAATGCACATTGTCCCCCAGGGAGGGACACATTAATA